AAATACCCTAGGAGAGCTTGCTGCACAGGGACTCTAGTATTAGTAGTAGATTAGTAGTCTAGATCACACTTTGAAGGAGAAAGACCAGAATCCATGTAATAGATGTGAAGAGCCAATTTCTTGTTAGTTTACAGTGGGCTTCTAGAAACCCCTTGCATTTGAATTCATTCCTCATATTGTCTGTTACCTCGGGAAAGCAATAATCTCTCTTTTGCACCATTCAGCCAATCCACACCATAATTTTCAGGCTCCTGGTCATAAAAGAATACAACCAGAAGTGTAAAATCAGAAGAAGTCTGGTGGCAATTTTTCAGAGTAATATATTTTATTAAAAGGCATGAGCTGTCATTACTTCCCTGATATTAGGCTATCATAGTCTAACATGTTTCTCCTCCTATAAAAACTGCAGGTTAAAAATATGACAGGCGTTATGCTTAGTTATTCCTTTACTTTAATGTGAGTTACATGTGGACTGGAATACTCCAGAGTCACTGGATTCAGGCAGCATATAAATTTAATAAATTATTATTCTTAATACATGCCTGAAATGAAGGAGTTTGAGAACCTTATAAGAAACAGGCATTAGAAGCTATATGCATGCAAAGTGGTAGAAGATTTGCATGAAAGAATAGATTTCTTTTTCATGATGTACGACTAAGATGTGGGCACGCAAAGTTTTAAAAAGTGAAGCTGCATTAAAAGGTTTCAGAAAAATTAAAACTTTAAAATTAGACTGTGTTCTAATTTCTAAGATTTTGCATGAAAATCCATTGGATGCTATATGACTTGAATTACATATTGCTGCAGTATGTATCAATTATTTAGTGAAACACAACTGCATTTTAAGCATAGAAAAGTCTTTATAATCTCTTATTTAAAAGAAAACAGAAGAGAGACAATTCAGTTAGGGAAGATTTTCCTGAACTTGTTCAGTGATTCCTCAGGAATAATATTCTGGTTATTATTCAGTTATTAAAAATAATTATGGTTTATTTTTTTAACATCACATGGGATGTTTGGCAGTGGAGGGGGGATAGAATATATTAATGAGAAAATGTTGGAATCTTGATATCATCCAAAACCCTCAGGAAATCTAAAATGTCACCTGTAAAAATTGCTGTCAAATATTGTAGTTTGTATTTCATAAGTATCTGTATAAATTCTACATAGCTAGAAAATAAATCTAATTTTGCTGCCAAACCAGATCAAAATCCAATTCAGGCACTGGAAGGAAGTCTTTGCTCAAACACATTGAATCAAAATGTAAAATCTAATTTGATTTAGAGATGAGTTAATTAATCCGAATTATCCTACAAAAAAAAAAGTCAAAACAATAGTTTGTATTATTTCCCTCTATTTTCTGTTGTATCCTCTAAGAGTAATGTAAAATTTTATCTAGTATCAACAATCTTATGCTTTTATCTTTTTATTTTAGAAACTGGTATTTCTGTAATGGTTGTAATGTGATCCACTAAAACTTACGTCCATAAATCAAGTTATTATTATGGTTTGTTGCAGAGTCAACCAGATGTTCAGACTGAATTTGGCATTTTTGTCTACTTATTGGATCTGAGATCTGATTGTTTGATGGTGTTACAGACATCATCATCATCATCAATATTATTGTTGTAAATTGGGTGTTTTAAATTTTTGGGGTTTTAAATCTGAGCCGAAATTATGTAATAATTTTAATTATTTTTAACTGATCTCTGTCTTTGTGTTTTTAATAGGCTGTACACTGCCCTGAGTCCTTCAGGAGAAGGGCGGTATAGAAATAAATTTATTTATTTATATTATTATTATTATTATTATTATTATTATTATTATTGTTGTTGTTGTTGTTGTTATTATTATTATTATTATTATTATTATTATTATTATTATTATTATATCCTATGACAAAAGGTTGTAGATGGCCCATGTTGACATGTAGATGCTGAAAAAATTACAATCTAATGGCTGGACATTGCTGGAAGATGCACTCTTGTTAAAATGAAATTATTTATAAATCACAGTGGAGACAGATTTAAATAAAAATATTATTGTAAATGGTATATTGCAGAAGCTGTGGTGGGAAATTCATAAGTGCAATTTTCATAAGTGCATACCTAGCAAATTGCTAGGTTTATAAGGGTTTGATGTAAGTGGAATATAATGGTGGAACAGCTCTACCAGTGCTTGAAAATGTGTGGACTTCAACCCCCCAAATTCCTCAGTTGGTTTGGCTGAAGAACTCTGAGAGTTGAAATTCATACATCTTTAGATTCATGATTGATGTATGAATTTCATACATCAGAATGAAATTGTGCTGAGCTACACAAACCAAATGAAGAAAGTTGGTTATCAACTATAGAGCTGATAGCTTGGCTCGGTGGCTAAGCCATATGGCTCTCTTAAATAATGTGGTTCTGATTTTAAGCTCTTCTGTTTATGAGCACAAGAGAAAAAGAAGGGGGAATTTTCTGCTTTCCAGCTTAGTTTTGATTGCCTGAGGAAAAGAAGAGGAAAGGAGCGGGGCGGGAGGGGGGATTTACAGTATTTTATACCCATATTCATTATTTTTGGGTTGTCCATTTGGCAGTTTAAAATTAACAATATGAGCTAAATAGAATCCATGTAAGACATTTCATTTACTTAGAAAATTTTCACAGTTTAGCTGAAATAACCGAGCACCCTAAACATTTCATTTAAATGATTATAAAATTAAGGCTATACAGTATGTATATAGAGGATATAGGGGTGAGCTTTTATTTCCCAGGAATCAACTGTTGCTCTGCTGCCCATTTTGGGAGAGCATGACGGCATTCTCACAAAATGGCTTTTTTCAAGGCTTATGGATGGCAAGCCCCGAATGGTAACTACACATCATTTTTAATGCACTAGAATATGTACTTAGTTTTAAACAGGATGGGTCATTCTTAATGTGATAGAAAATCATGGTACATTTGTTCCTCCCATCCCCTGCCAATAATGTACTACATACTGTAGCTTGTTTAAACTATGGTAAGAATAAATTTGGATCAACAATATTTTAAATTCTGGTTTGTTCTTAAAAGTATAAATAAAACAAAACAGTTCCCTATTCAATGAGAGCTTAAAATGAGAAGTGCATTGTCACAACGCATTCATACAATGGTAGACTATTACTCCTTGCATATATGATGATTACTTGTTATTTTCAAATAGCTTTATTGAAACTGTGATTTATTTATTTATTTATTTTCCTTCCTTCCTTCCTTCCTTCCTTCCTTCCTTCCTTCCTTCCTTCCTTTCTTTCCTTCCTTCCTTTCTTTTTTTCCATTTTAATCAATAGCCGAAAACAGACTAGGAATAGTCTTCTATTCCTTACATGGTAATATATATGCTTATTATATTTTTACTCTCCTGTATTGTAGCTTATGTATCTCCAACTGCCATCTCATTGACACTGCTTTTAGGGTTCAGTTTCCATAAAACCTTTTAACTGGTTTTTGTAAATTCCAATGTGTACATTCCGTAAATATATACTTGAGGGGCTATACATAGTATCAATCTGTTTATTACTTTTTTCTTTTAATATTTAGTTTAAATATGTTTGTAGGGAAGTTCAAAGAAGGAAAAACTTCCTCACTACCACCAAAGTTTCTCAGAGACGTTTGGTGATCACCATTGAGTAATGTGAAATATATTATGAGAGCTGCTTGTGGGGGGGATAATGACCTAAAAACAGCTAATGAATCTGGAGTTGTTCTGCTGCACTCATCACTCCTATTGTACATTCCACTTACATTCCACCTGGACAGTTTCCTGGAAAGATTTTTGGGATGTTTAGGGATGAAGGAAGGGAAGAAGAAGTAAAGAACTTTAGAACTGTGAACTACCTTAAGTTATCTTAGCCTTTATATTACATCTTAAGTTATCTTAGCCACCTTAAGTTATCTTAGCCATTACAAATAGTATAATCACTGTTTAAAATGACAACATTAACATTCCAACTGGCTATCACTGCAGTTGTTCTATATAGTATTAATTACCAAACCTTGTAATCTAATGGCTTTGTTAATATGAAACTACTGCAGTCCAGTCCATTACTTCCTTAGGAACTCTGGCATTACTCTTTTGTTTGTTTCAATCAAAGGAACATTTATGCGTGCATAGATTTGCCTCCTTTGCTGTAATGAAATAGAAATGAAGAAATTCTCATATAAAACCAGGACATGGCTCTTGTTCCCATTATAAGTCACTATATTTTGGGCAAAGTATCTAAGATATTCTTTGTAGAAAACACCCTCAGTGACCTCATCTTTTCTCCATCTCTAGACATTTATATATATTAGGGTTTTCTTGTTCATTGAGAAGCAAAATGTATTAATCATATGTATATTTTGCTCTGTGGGCCATCAGGTCAACAGACTCCCTTTTCTTTAATAGTGTGGCTGCATTAGATGCATTCAAATGATTGAGAGGAAAACTGTTGTTAAATGTTACTTCACATGCACAAACAAATCATTCAAAATCAGCACAGAAATAAAAGGTTTGAATAGGTAACAATTCTGATGACTTGTAAAGTGTGTATCTAACTCACAAAACCTGCATGAAGGAGACAAATAATAACAATGCCCTGAAGGGAGGGGAAAAAGATTATCACTCAGAGAGGGATTCTGTCTCTTGCTGTTTAAAATATGAAATATGAAGTTTACTTGTTTAGTAAAGCAAATGTTACACAATGCTTTGAAGTCTTAAAATTCTGGGATAAAAGTTTACATCCAAAAGTTATGGGTGTATGAAAATTGTGCTTTCAGACAGTAGAGTTATTTGTCATACCAATTTATCTCAACTTTAGATTCTGGGCCAATTTCTATAGTAGTATATCTATCTCTATATAATTATGTATATATGTGCAGTTTCTCGTATACAGTTCCTGCTCAAAAAAATTCTAAAACAATGTGCTTCACTTCATGTATAGCCAAGGCACCTGTGTATTTCTCCCTTTTGGACAAAAAGTGATACGAAGATCCAGATTCCCTGGTGAAGACAACCATTTTATTAGGCCTTCTATCTTCCATCATGGAGCTCCATAAGCCAGAAGAGAAGGCTCTCTTTGGCTCCTTGCTTGGGCTGGAAGAGATCCAGGAGGCCGCGTAGAGCTTCATGATCAAACAAGGGAAATCAAGCAGAACCGTGAAGCAGAGGGACAGTAACAAAAAGGCTATTCTGGTGTGAGGAGGAGGAGGAGGAGAAAGAGGAGGAAGAGAAGGATTCTGGTATCTTCAGCTCCACAAGCAGATGTTGCCACTGGACTGACATGTGGATCCTACTCCTGCAGGGGATAGGTAGAGTTTGCCATTGGGACAAACACAGATTTCATAGATAGTCTGTCTTGTTGCCGATGAACTTGGTGAGGAGGATGAGGGGAAAGATCCCAGCGGTAGATTACCTAGCCGGATTGAGTCTGCATTTAAAAATATCTAGGGGAAAAAAAGAAAGAAAAGAGGAAAATGAATTACTTTTACTGCAGGACTTCACTGATATGTTCTTGGATTCTCTAAAACAGACCACTAAAATAGAGATGATGATGCCCTTCTCTGTATTTCAGAATGAAATTCAGTTATTACAAAATAGCAGAATCAGGCTCTTTACTGGTTAACTGGACATCATGGCAACCCAGTGGCTGGCAGGAATGCCTTTCTTTGTCCAATCCCAGCTGTCCTTATTTTTGATACCATACAATTCCTCCCCCCTCCCCGGTGTTTAAGTGTTGAAATAGAGCAGAAGGCTGAAGTACATAAGGACATAAGGGTCTGAGCTCTGAAAAATAAAAAGCATACAACACTGTACTCTTTGGTGATTCTGATTTAACTGTAGCCATTCGTCAGTTCCACTTAGAGAAGAGATTATGCATATTTCCATTACTAATGTAGCAATTATACTCCTACATTAGTGTCCATCAGCATAATGAAGTTTGAAAAGTGCACTGTAAGTGAGAAGGCAATATGTAATTCCCACAATTCTGCAACTGTTTCCCTTTCTTCTTGTTCATTTGTTCATTTGTTCATTCTCCCAGTTGTTAATATCACCTAGGAAAAGAACAGTCTGGAAAGGGTTGCAATTTATGAGCTACTGATATGGATTTAGATTGCTGGACAATAAAACTGCTTATTTGAAAGAACGTGCAAAGGTAGATTTCCATCTATTAGCTGAAGACCTTTGTTGGGTAGTTAGGAAGAGATTGGTTGGTAATTAATGATAGAGAAGAGATAAAAACATATCCAACAGCCGCAATACCTGCCCTACCTTCCCTTAAAACTATCAGCATTGTGGTGAAAGCTAGGAAAATTAAACTGAAGAGCTAATGATTATTATAATACAGTAATGTGGAATTCAACTTTTGTTTGATTCTTATGATTGTGATGAATTAATATTCTAGGGGAATCAAAATTTGGAAATAGAAAAAACTTTGTGGGAGAACCAACAAAAATTGTATAAAGAGTATGAAGCTTAGAATATGGAATAGGAACAAATGATGGTTATCTTGATAGTTGTAGAATTATAATTTATATAATATTTGTCAGTATCTTCAGTTAAAATACTTTTTGTCTTGATTTTTCGTCGGGCTCTGAAAACCTATTTATTTCAACTAGCTGGGCTGGCTTGAGTTAAATTTTAAATTGATTTTAAATTGGATTGTTTTAATTTACGGCCAAAATATTTAATTATTTTAAACTGTTTTTTAAATTTTGTATGTTCTGTTTTTACTTTGGCTGTTCACCGCCCTGAGTCCTAATTGGAGAAGGGCGGTATAGAAATGGAAACAAATAAATAAATAAATAAATAAATAAGATATATAACAGTAGCCAAAATGCTTCAGAATCCCACTTACTCCTAAAGGATTCAACATATTCTTTACAAAATGATTCTAGAAACAGCTGCTAAAATACACTAATTAAATGTTCAAGAACACAGAGACATGTGGAGTAAGGATTTGGAGTGTTTTTATATTTATATCTAATATTCCATTCATCTTAAGCCATGAAAATAAACTGGAAAACTATGGGCCAGATCCTTTTTCTTAACTACTTCACAGAGTTGCAATGAGCTTACGGAAACACAATATAAAATGATCAAGAAATTGAATACATAACATCTGCACACAACCTTGTGGTTATAGTAAAGTTGGCGCAAGTCCAGAAGAGGTTAAAATGTATTTTGTTGGTACCATTGCAACAAAATGACCTTCATGAGAGGATGACAATGAAGCCAAAATGTAGGAGGATTTTTTTGTTTAAATTTTATTCACCTAAGACAAAATGAAGCCATTTCCTTAAAGAGTTTCCTTGAGCAGGAGTTTTGGTTGCATGTCAAACTGCTGGAGTGCAGCTAGATTTCAGAATGTCATTAGGAGAAAGATGAAGAACAGTTGTTAAAGGTAAGGAAATAAGGCACCCAAAGAAGATGTAGGGGAAAAGATCCTGCAACTGGAATCATGGGAAGGTTATGTTTGTGTGTGCACAAGTGTGCACTGTGCAGTGTGGCCAAATAACAGAGGAAAGGAAGAGGTAAAGGCCTTAGCAGCCAGAAAGGATTCTGGAATCTGAGTGGTATAAGGTCAAATCAGAATGGAACAGAAACGATCATGTCAAAGTAACCCATAGAAGATGTCAAGTAGTGTGAACTCCAACATCATTTTCCAGAGGTTCTTAGTAAACCAACATGTTTCCCAGAAAGGAACGTAGAAAAATCATGCCTGCCTTTTAATTCCAGTAATACATTAAGTTCTTAACAAAACTCCCTCCAGTGTCCATCTGGTATCCATCTGGACCCATTAGGTACCTGGAACAGAACATCTTAATGGGTTTGTCTTTCCTCCAGAGATAATAAACAGTAACAAATATTTGGAGCAAGAACTGATGTGACCATAAATCTAATGTCCTCCAGAATCAGATCAAACATCAGCTGCTCAAAGGTAAAGATGCTATCAAGCACACATTTTTTTAATATGCACATGCAATTAAACGTGATGGACTTTATTGCAAGATAGAGAGAAATAAAATTAATTTAAGGCTCCAGTTCTAAGCACCATATAATGGACTAGTGTCCAAGTAAACATGCATTGGATTTCACTAATGAATATGGTTCTCTAATAAGGCTTACCTCCCCTTCTGTAGACTGCAAATGTAGCTCTTTTCTACAAGTGGCTTTCAAGTCCCCTGCAGCTGCACTCACTTGTATTCCCTTTGGAGCTTCCATTATCAAAGATCTTGTAGGCGATTCAAGCCTAGAAAATGGGGGGTGGGGTGGAAATGAGGAAAGTGAGGAAATTTATAAAAATAAAATAAAATAAAATAAAATACCACATGCCCTATGTATTGCTCATCCGCTAGGTATTTTTTCTACAACACAATAGAAATAAAATACCAACAACATTCTTAATACACTGAAAGTTCTTTTGAATATAAATTCATATTTTCTAGAGTACAATGTTATTTTTTCTAGAACAAGGTCTATTTTATTTCAAGTCAGTTATTTTGCTGTGAATGGTCTATCAGAATACAATGTTTAACTATGACTAATAATTTTATATAAAAGTTGAAGCTGGTGAGTGCTGTTTTACATCCATGTGTAGGTGTCACCTGCTGCTTGTTGTTGCTTATGAAGGTGATCCTTGTATACTCATCAACTTTTTAGCAGCTGATATATAATTACTATCATAGTAAAAGGGAAGCTTATGAAAGTCCTGAAACTAATTTGGGTATTATTAGAAATATATTTGCTTACTCCAAATGAGGGGTTTAAAATTCAGGCATTTGAAAGATCCAGCCAATAGGCATGCCAGAAACCACAGTACAAAATCTGTCCTATAGATATCAATCTTTAGGGTTGTCATGTTTATTGTCAACAGGCCTGCTTTGAATATTGGCAGAAAGGCAATGAATATGGATTCCAAGAAATAAATAATGGAAAAATTATTAATAAACATTATAGCCTGATATTGCCTGATTTAAAGATTTCTTATCCAAATGTTTCAATATCATGTTTTTCAGGATTCTTTATCAAGATCTGTTATAGGCTTACTTCTCTATTTGCATAAATATTGACAATAATTAATGACTGGATTTCTTTCTAATAATTTGTGTTTTGTTATTATGGCCAGCTTTCTAAATGGTCTGTCATCTCAATGGTAGATTGGGGGTGTCTACAGAAGTGGTATAAGTGACAAAGCATGTGTTGCAATGCTACAATGCAAACCTGCCACTAATGTATTGTGAATGATTCTGCAACACAAGTGGGAAAGGGTAGCGTTTGTAATTTGTCATTAGCACATTTATTTTATTATATACCATCATGTCTAGCTGGGGACCTGAGTAGTTGTAGACCTATTTTCTTGCTTATACATGGCATAGTTATGAAACAGCAAATATTAAACCAAAGCTGAAAAATATAATTTAAAAAATATGTCATTTATTGGTTTATTTAACTATGTTCCAAGTTAGGTTTAACACAAATAACTTCTTAAAGCTCTGTTTTAAATAGCCTATCATGTAAATAGTTATCAATAAAATTTAGGAACATTGACCCTTTATCTTATGTGGTTGCTTTGAAGAACTGTGATTTATTTAATGATGCGCCATCTTATTAAGGAAAGAATATAGTTTAAACTTCAGGAAAATTATATTTTTAACAGATATTATTTAAGAACCACCTTTCTTTCAAAAGGAAATTTCTAGACATCTTAATTTTTAGTTCACTTCTACAAACTCCACTTGTTTATTTATTTTCTTCAGGCAAATGCTGGTATGATGAAATGGACCATATTTTTGAATGCTTTTCTAATCCTTGTGAAATTTAATATACATATGGTTTAAAATAAAATTACCCTTGGCTATATAGGTAAGGAAGACTTTTACTTATAAAAGTAAAGGGTTTTATTTTGAATTCAAAGCTATTAATGCTAAGTTAGAAACATTAGGGTATATGATGGATATCATCCAGCCACTGTTTTGGGCATTTAAATTGCATTGATTGTAGTCAAAGATTTAAGAAGATGCTTAACTTTCTACTGAAATCAATGGGGAAAGCACTAAAATTTGATTGACCCATGCTTGTTATAGATCACAGATTCCAATCTTGTGGAGAAGATCATTTTAATTAAGCAGTAATAACATTAGTCCTGTTAATGTTACCTGTCTTGCAAACCCCAGGTAACCAACAATTATAAAACGTTCCAAAAAAGGACCAAGTATTTAAGATCAGGTGAATACCGTAGTTGCTCCTTTAAAGAGAGCTACTGAGTTATTTGCTGTGTTGCATTGCCAGATAGAGAATATATCAGGGAACATGCACAGAAGTGCAAATCACATTGTCTTAAAATCCAAGTCAATGCATATGACATCTGTAGCATTCTGCATGAAGAAGCTGGAGGCAAGCAAATGAGACGTCTACAAATTAATGGACATACCTAGGGTTTTAAAGAAGTTGAGTGAAACAATCAAAAGAAAACTCAGAAATATTGCAGCCCAATCATATTTTCGTTTGCTATTATTTCTGTGCTGCAGGTCAAACTGAAACATTAATCAATGTTCCAGTTCTGAAGACACCATTGCAGTGGTTGTAGAGCTATGTTGGTAGAACATGCATTACAGGAGTAGTACCTTGTTAAATCTGCAGGTCAGGGGCTTAGTTTAATTTGGATGTGCAGTTACGAAATTTGCCTTGTATCACAGGAGAGGATATGGCAAAATTAGCCTACTAACAGGATCCTTCTCAGAGAACCTCCCAGACTAAACCAGAGATAGCAACCCATGCTGAATACTCATGCACCTATGATTTGAATGAAGATTGACACAGGTGTTAATGGTTAAACATTTTAGGAAAACATTAAAACTATTTAAAAAGGGATGCTGGGTCAAGATAAAATATAGAGATATCATTGAGTCAAACTCAGCTCCTAGTAACTCCATAGTAGGTTGATAATGTGGAACTAATCCCCCATGGAAATCAGATTAGAGTGTATAGGAAGTTGGAGGTTCAAGAACTCAGCACATTTCAAAATTAATATTGAAAACTGACATTCTGTTTCTTTAATGCTTTAATCTGTCATTTCTAAACCGATTGGATTGGAAAGCTGCACAAAATGTTGTACTGTTGCACAAATAAAGGCAGTTCCTGATGTCTCCTCTTGTACCAGGGTTTCAATTGTTTTGTAATTCTATACATGCTCTGATAAAATTTGTGCAGGCTCCCCTAGATAACTCTGATATGCCTCTGATGCTCTCTGCTGTGATCTCTAACCTCCCTCCCAAAAAATTCTGGAATGCCTTTTAATAAGGCTTGGCATGGCCAATTTCAGGATTGGCAAATTAATATATTGTTTTATTTTTCCCCAAAGAAATGGAAGGATGGCTGTAAGGATGCAAAATATCTTGATATATTTCATTTAAAAGAATCTACTAATCTTCCAATTAATTAGAACATGAACAAAAATAGGAAACATTAATTCACACATCTACAGAAGGGTGCTGGTAGTGTCAATGCTTGGGCAAAAGTTAAGCCCTTCTCAATCACAGTTCCATTGGCAAAAATATACGAGCCAAATTTAGCTTCAAAAGAAACATCAACTCTTTTCTGAAACCAAAATAGGGAGTCTTTTACATTCATTATTAAATTTCATTAAGTTGGAGTGACACTTTGACTTGCAAAATACCAGATGATAGTGGGTTGATTCTTTTTACATCCATAGGCATTGAAAGCCAACAGAAAGAAATGCCACTCATATTTATATTTTTAGTATAAATAGTACAGAAAATGGTCCTGGCATTCTGTCCAAAGCAAGCAGCTTGAACAATATAAAGGACTATTTTGAATCCCGAGAGCCTATCCAAGCAAAGCTAAAAAAGCAGGACAAATCCCTAATTTTGGCTCTCTGTTTTAGCTATGTAAGGAAAGATAAATCATGAATAATAAGAAAGAGAATCAAGATTGTCAATTTATCACTGGACCTAGAAAGGGAACTCAAGCTAGGTATATTCTTAATTATGCTGGAAAATTTAAAAAGCTAGAACAGGAATGGAAAATGTCCAGGCAATGAGGAAGCTTGTTTCATCCATGAAAACCTGCCTCTGATGAGATATATGATATTTTTCCTGCATTGCATTACAATCCAATTAACTGATGTCAGAAACTTTTCAAAACATACTTGCTGATCAGACAGCATTTTGGTTGTTCATAACTAGGAAGAGGAAGTTTAATCCCTTCTACCCACAATTTCCTCATAAGGAAATATAATCTGCTTGTCTTTCACCAAATTTTTATATGGCCCTAGTAGGGCTGGTGGAAGTTTTATAGAGCTTTATTGTTGCACGTGAGAGCAGAGGGAGGAAGCCTTGTTGGACAAGTTGCATGTTGTCTAAAAGAGTTCTACATGGCAGGACAATATATGAAAATATATGTGTGGGATGTGCATAGGCACATAGGATGTGTTAATGAACAGATCAAAAAAAATTACAGTCTGTGTCTCCATACCAGCAATGAGGAGGCTCTGTCCATTTTGGGCATGACTTCAGTGTCTAATTCTGCCCTCAAGCCAGAAGGGCTTCTCCATTTCTGTATTAGAGCAACATGAATGTTAAGGAAAAGGTGGGGAACATTCTTTTCTGATTGAAGGATGGGCATATCCCTGGAGAGGTGAGGAAACTCACTTAGGAGCATTATCTCTCTCTCCATATTTTTAAAATTCCTGCCTGCCTGCCTGCCTGCCTGCCTACCTTCTGAGCTTAGCAGAAAACAGATATACTGATGGAAATCTGCAAACTATAAAAATATAGCAATAAAATTGACTGTTGAGTGTGAAAGATGCTACTCATCTTTCTGCTTCAGACATCTAATCAAGGAGAAAAAGGTTGCATGATTTTCTTGTTGCTTCAGTTTTTGCAGCTATTTTTCCCCCTCTCTCCTGGGAACTAGAGCCTGTTTTCTCAGGGAAAAGCAACCAATGGCAGAACTTGCAGGTGAGAAATAAGACCTCGGAAAAGGGTCAAGAGCATCTTTCTTGACTGCTTTGCCTTTTCAGAGTATAGTCTCTCACCACATGTCGCGTTTTCTGCCTCTCACAAAACACAAAAAGTATTTGCCATCCCAGCCTCCATGCCAAGTTATTTTGGCATCAAATATCTAGCTACTGAACATATTTTTCTCACCTTATTATGTGAGAAATAAGATGTAACAGTCAGCTTATTATCAATCTTAAAGCTCTCATTAACTGAGACATCTGAAAGCCGA